CCATATGAAATTTCAAGCCCGGGGCCCAATAGGTTCTTAATCCGGCCTTGATAATATGTAGATTAAATGATATCGTGCCGCCGCTCCGTCTACGCGGATATTTACTTAGCACGGCCGCCGTAAATGTCTGTCGCTTCCCGTACGTTGTTCCGACCGTTTCAACGCGCACAAAAAATATTATGTTTAATAATTGTTTAAATAACTTATATTGTTTTTTATTATAATTAGAAGGGCCTAGTTAAATTGTAACTGATTAAATTATATTAAATTCTCGGTGTGACATTATAGCATTATAAATTATTATTGTCGTAAAAAGCGCGAATCGCTAAATAGTTATTTTATATTTGTTCGGGCGCGAATCGCCAGGTTTCAATTATATTGTAGTAAGCCAGTTACTACGGAGTAACACCAATTTCATGAGTACATACATAGTTATTATTATAATATACGATAGACCGGCATAACCGGGTAGTAAGAAAATTAGGGTTCAGAAATAGGCGCAGTAACCTTGGACAGAAACAAATACCAATTTCAGAGGTACATAGTTATTATATTATAGTTTACGATGGACCGGAATAACCAGGGAATAAGAAAATTAGGGTTCGGAAATAGGCGTTGTAATATTCCACAGAAATACTGAACATACACAACGAGATCCAAAATTAAAAGAATGAAATGATTATTTTATAATAATCATGGGGAAGACACCGAATACATACGACGAAATTCAAAAATATAAAAAAAACAAGAGTAGAATAATTATTTTAATAATAAGTCATAGTTGATAACACAGTCAATCGTAGATGCGTGGTCTGGGATGATGAGCACACAAATCACATCCGTGAGAACCGAGATATCGTATAGGTATGTAGGCAAGGGGTAAGGGGAACCTCATATATAAGGGAGCCCGAATCGGCCTGTATTCAGACGTGTACTACCACCCATTAGTGCAAGCACCTTCACGCCACTTTGTATAACAATATTTTGAACTTAGGAAATTATCGAACGTTTTAATAAAATCTCACAATATTATATCATACTTCAACTGTCTTATTATTATTATCATCCACGACTACAACATCATCAAATAAAGTGTCTGCGACCTGCATCTATAATATTACGATGATACAAATTCTAAGATAACTAAATAATTAAATGTCGTATTTATCTGCAGATTATCTCATCTTTTTAAGAACATCGTACAGTGATGCGGTGCTAGCGGCACTCGTCGCTACGCTCCTCGGCGCCGTCGCTCCGCTCCGCAAATCGAAAATATCCCCCGACTTGCTGTGCAACACCTCCCCAAGTGGGTCACAGGGTTAAGAAATTCAGATCGTGAATAATCGTTTTAAATATACCGACTCAGACACTTTTCAGTAGAGCGCATACCGAATCAGCACTTGTTGGTAGAGCGCATACCGAAACAGAAACTTGTTGGTAGAGCGCATACCGAATTAGCACCAGAAATTGTAAAAATAATATTATAATCCTGTTTTATTTTTTGACTGTTGATGGTATACATTAATTAACATATTAGGGTATTTTATTTGTATATGTATTTTATGATATGTTCGTGTTATTTATTATTATATTTATTAAATTATTATTAAAAACTCTTAGCTCAAGCAAAATTAAATTACTTTCAATTTGGCCGCATGAAGTTTTACGAGCAATCGTACATATATCTTACCCAAAATGTATGTTCTATTGTCCCATTAAAACATGCGCAATCGTATTATGAAAAAGGTAAAATGCGCGCAATCGTATTTTACCGATTTTTTATATTTATTCGATACAATATACATAATATTATATAGCTTAGTATGGTGTAAATGTGTAATGTACCGTATAGGCGTCATATTATTATAGTTGTTTGTCAGTCAATAGTATCATATGATTCGGATTTACAGCTACTAACTCGATTATTATCGATATATTCATTTTTATTATTTTCAATAAATTGTACGCCTTTATATAATAATATAAATATGCATTTAGGGTTATGCAAGGCGTGTTGACTCCATGGTTCATAATTTTTTTCCCATTTTCCCAACAATAACCCACAGTAGTAACATTGAACCAAATCATCCGTACCAGTGTAAGTGAATCCACATTGAGCCAATGAATATTTATCTTGGTATGATTGTGGTGAACGTGAATCATATGTTTTCAACCTTGATAAAAAGCTCGAATACATAGGATATTATGGATCTGAGTTCTCTTCCACCGAATGCACTAGTGATTGAAAATCGGTGGAATATTTTAATAAATTCATATTTATAGTACTTATAATAGGTAAAATAATTATATTTAAAACGCTAATAATGTCCAGTAGTGATTTATGCGCTTACGGACAAAACACTCCTAACCTGAGTGATGGTCTAACAGTAACTGACTATATTACATGATTATAGATCGTACGATGAAGCTATCACAGAATAATAATAATAATACAAATTATAATATCTGAATTGTATACTGTGATACAGAATTAATATAATAATAATAATAATATTATATATAATATTAATATTATATTATTATTATTATTATTATTATAGTGTCCAGATGAAATATTATATAAGTAAAACGATTATACTAAGTCTTCTATAAAATATCCTTGTAGAATATTTTTTCTACAAAATATTATAACATGTATAAATAATATATTAATAAATTAGTAAATAAATATTAAAAAAGAATTTATATAAAACTAACTTATACCGCTATGAATATTAGATAAAACCATCAACTATGATAATTATTAAACAGCTTACATATCAGTATACACCAGTAAAAATATATGTTAACCGCGGATCGTTGGTGTGCTGTATTGTTTAACGTTCGAAATTTGTGTATTTCTTATACAGTTATAAGTGTAATTTTAAATCGTTTTAAAGTTAAATTCCGTAGAATTATTATTATTATTATTATCATTATTTTAGTGAAGGCGCAACAATCGTTGTTATCTATTAAATAAAATCCCCTTATTCGTAATGTGTAAAAGTCGTCTCACAGACGAGCGTATTCAGTTAGATCTCTTTATTACTCAACCATAGGACATAACCCACAAAAACATCCACAGACTTAATATTGTATTATATTTTATTTATTCATTCTTGTATGCGTGTTTATATTAAATTTCTGTGTTAGAAAACCGTCACGTAATACTTTCCTTCTAATTTAATACAACACAATGTATTGTAGTATAAACGTTTTCATTATACATATACAATATCACCCCGTGATCCGTTCACACCACAAGGTCATAAATGTGTGGATACAGCCTTTAGGTCTATACAGACTAAACTCGGGTCTCCGCTGAACGAGTAGTAGTAACAGTGCAGCTATCCTCGACGTAGTCTGAGCATCTTAATAATATAATTTCTAAAACGCTATCAACATTCGAGTGTCTAAATTATAAGCACACTGCAGTGTGTACGTTATAATATTTATTTTAATTATTTTTAAAAATAATTTACACAGTTACTTATGAATTCATACGATACACGCAACATTAGGCCGGAGTCCCACTTGGAATTCGAGCGCAGGCATGCAGTACTTGAGCCGTATATAGATCACATAAAGAATTTCATGCTTAACCATATAGTGTACGAGCGATATGGTATCGCGGAAGACGATATTTTTTTATCAGTTGAGTGCGCCGCATGGCTATTGGGACGTTTCGATAAATTTACTAGGATTGATGTATTAATCGATATTAGACACCCGCAAGAATTTAGGCTGACTGCGACGCCAGAAGCGTTCTTTGATGGACTCGAGCGTGGGCTACCGAAAAATAGTGATTTCCCGGGCGAGCTTGAAAATATGTTTGGCTTATCCAGCATTATCGTAAATTATCTCGAGATGGATATAAGCTTTGTTTTCATACACGGTACGCAAAATTATTTACTAGAACATTTTAATTTATCGATATCGGCGGTACTTGTAAATTTGTATAACTTATCGATGGTGTACACCGCCGAATGTCCGTGTGATTATGGTAGTGGACAGTGTATGACCTCATCTGAAACTCGTAAAATGATATACCCGTTATTATTCGAAGCATCATCTGTCGTCCAACCATCGGACAAAAATATATCGATGTGCACACGGGCAGTGACTACACCCTTGCGCCTTCACGGTAGATATCATACGTTTCAGGATTTTTTTCCATCGTATGGTCCGCGTATGCATTTACGTGAATTTTTTTGTGACTATTCAATTTTCGCAAGGTGTGCCGAGCTTGTGAATGCGCGCCGCGCGGAGTAGATGAGACTGATCGACCGTTATCGTTTTACATCTACCCCGATTGCATAGCGTGTATGTCTCGGCGGGAGAAGTTGACCCGTTGGGCGTACGATCATTGGGTGCGTAGGACATACCATCCAATTACTGGATATGGTTATCGGGCAGGGACGTAGCGTGCATGTAAGCACTGTATAAGCACTGCTTACACTTTAAATTAAAGAAAAAATAAATTTGATCAATCACGACTAATATGTACATAATAAATGATTTTTAAAATTTTAATTTTATTTATAAAATATTTAAGTTATAGCTGGTAGTGGTTTTTTTTATCGTTTATTTGTGTCGTACGCTGTCTACTGATACCAACTATTTTAAGAAAATCATCGATTGTAGGTCTATTTTAAATCCATTCTGTATTATATTAACTGCATAATCATAATACGTTATACAGTGTAACACATTCTGAAATTGCTTACGCGCAACTGTTGTTTTCGAATAGTCTATAATGCCATAGTGGGGGTCACGTATTTAACTAGCGTTTATAAGCACATTTGATTTTGCTTACGCGAGAAACAAGGAGCGACCAGACGGTCTTGTAGACTGAGGTCGTTTTTACGTACACTGTTACTGTCATAGTGTCATTTGCTTAATAGACTTTTGACGTATTTATACTTCAATTTCTTTATTTTCTCGAATTTGATTTGTACAACTAGTATATTTTTAAAAATATTAAAAACTTTAAAATGATAATATTTTTTATACATAATTTAAAATTAGGTATTTAGGTATAGTACCTATATTCTAATCACTTTTGAAAAAAAAATGTCACTGCTTACATCTTTTTAATACCCACGCCACGCCACTGTTATCGGGAGGCTAAAAACCGTTTCAATAAAAGCGATAGTATAGATTTACCGATAGTTTTATTTACTAACCATATTTTATTTAATGTTAAATTCCATCTATCCCTTCAGTATGTGAAAAATTATTCTCTTTTTTCCGTCCAATCCTCACAGAATTTCATATGCTCCTAATAAATCTATTTGTTCACCCGAATAATTTAACATTAACCATAAATTCATAATGGCGATAAACTCATATATATATATATACATTAAAAACCATAAAGTTAGCGGCGATGGTGGTGGTGGTGTTGACTAAATTCAACCGCCCGACGATGGTTGATAATTGTGGGCGCGGCCCGTTTCGCCCAAAATCAACCTTTCCCGTTTCGCCCACATACCCGTTTCGACCAAAGTCATTTTAGTCGTTTTCAAATTAAGTTGGCAATGATTTTTAAATAATATAGTATTTTAGTAAACCATATAATATTATGCACCTATTATAATTAACTATAAAAAAAAAAAATTGCATAATATTATAACATATTACTATTTTCTACTAAAATTAAGTTATATTCAATAATCAGTTATTTATTTTTTTACATACAATACAGGCATTATCCCAATTTAAATAAATATTTAGTATAATAATTTAAAAATACATTTTTACAGTTAAAAATTATAATACAAATTACCAGTTTTTATTTTTGTAGTCATTGCCAAAGTTTTTAAAAAATACATACTCAATATTATACATTTATACAAATATTATTGTCTACTAAAAACTATTAAAAAAAAAAGCATTACACAATATAATATATTATTATTTTTTATAAAAATTAAGTTAGGTTATTAAATTTTCTTTTTTAAAATTTCTACACATGCTTTTTACAAATTCGTACCTAGTAATTTCGCCAGATCTATATAAAAGTATACGTTTTTCGTTGTATTCTTGTCTTTCCTTCGTCTTTCTGTCTTTTGTTTTTTTGGGAATTTCAACACTATTTTGATATACGTTTCTGTCTGGATCTCATCGCGTATAATATTTAACCAACTTATGATTGATGGAGAGTTAGAATAAAAGTTTTTATTGAAATATTAATTTAAATTGGGAGAATGCCTGTATTGTATGTAAAAAAATAAATAACTGATTATTATGAATATAACTTAATTTTAGTAGAAAATAGTAATATGTTATAATATTATGTAATTTTTTTTTTTTTAATAGTTAATTATAATAGGTGCATAATATTATATGGTATACTAAAATACTATATTATTTAAAAATCATTGCCAACTTAATTTGAAAACGACTAAAATGACTTTGGTCGAAACGGGTATCTGGGCGAAACGGGAAAGGTTGATTTTGGGCGAAACGGGTGCCGCCCATAATTGTAACCAGCTAATTAAAAAAGCGGTACAACTACTATAGATACTACTAGCTATCATCACCATCGTAGATTCGGTTATATATTATTATGTTATTTATTATATATTATTATATCTAATCAATTTATTATAAGGATTCTAATATATAAATTATTAATCTATAGGGTTTAAATCAACTATATATGCATATGTAATATATATTAACTAGGCGGGTCTAGGGAAAATATAATACATGTACCTTTTATTATTTGCATATTGTATATATTATAATATTTATAAGTTTGACTGTTTTTTTTTTTTCTTCTTAAAATGTATACTATTCTCTCATATTAACAATTCGTTTGACTTTTCCTATATTATACAGCTAAGGTTAGAGGCGATCGGCGATGACTCTATTGCTATCAAGTTTATTTAAAATTCGCGAAATAATATTTTATATATAAATATATAATGTTTTAATTTTCCTAAATAATATTATATTTTAATGAATTATAGCGCATAAATAATATTATACTATACAGTCGCAGTCATAGAGATTTTTATTTAAACGAAAATGCTAAAATCTGCATGCACATAATATAGTAAGCATAATCAGCTTGTAATATGTGAAAAATGCATATATTACACTGTTCGGTCATAATTATTCGTAAGTCATAATATTATCTAGCTAAGCATGCGACGCGTTTGATAATAAAGTTGATCTGCGCTTACAGGGGCAGACTGGCCCGGTCCGCTGGTCAGCGATCGCGGACTGGCCTTCGGCCGTAAATCGTAATATATAATTTTGCCCTGCATTATTTATAAAAATAAAATATAAAATCAGACAAAAATAATAATAATAATAATATGAAGGAATTCTAAACACTGGACAATACACAATGCTTCTGCTGAAAATTAATTCACATTTATTTTTGTTATCGGCTTATTCTATTTTCGTATCGTTCTGATTAAATCACTATACGGGCTTACGGGTCATGGCTATAAACGCGTCGAGCAGCACATATTATTATTATACATATATTTGATGACGGAAGAACACAATAATATTATATCATGTATATTATACCCATTATCCATTGTTTATTTTTATTTTAAATACAAATATGAAATGTTATTTAATTCGAATTAAAAATGAGGCAACAGTTTTGAACGGCGTTTATTTTCCATCCAATATAGGCAGAACAACAACATCATTTATGATCTATCAGATAAGAAATATTTCATTTTAATAACTTGTAGACGGTATTATAGTAGTTAGTAGTTGATTTGAATATTATCGTTATAGTTTGGCAATGTCATTGGTTATTTTAAAAGGTATATACGCAGTCTTCTAAAGTACTTGAGTAAAAGAATTTGAGTAAAAATATTCAAATACTTTTTAAGCACTCAATTACGTATTCTAAATACATTTAAAAAAAGTACTTGGGCACAGTATTTGAACACTTTTTTGAAAGTATATATCTGTATTTAAAATCAAATACTATTCTAAATACTTTTTTCGTTTTACTTTATTAACAGGGACGTTAAATTTAATAAAATCATACAAATTTGAAATTGTACAACATTTTTATTTATATACTAAATATCCATTTAATATTGAATATTTGAATGTATGTAGTATGTAGTCCTTCGATTTCCTAATAAAATTGGAAATACCTTTACTCGAATTAGGTATATAATATAAAACATAACGATAGTCGATAGTTAATATATTATATTATATTTTTTAATATTTAAAAACTAGTTAGTGTTATATAAAAAATTAATTCAGTTTGCTAAATATGATTCCATTCATCTATATAAGATGTCAAGATGACCGTACTGAGGTCATTAGGCCAAAGTAAAAAATTAAAACACATTAAAAAAAAAAAAAGTATTTGAAAGTATCTGTAAATACTTTTTAAAAGTATTTGTATTTCTACTTAAATACTTGTTTTTTCAAATATTATATTCAGATACGTATTTTAAATACTTTTGAAAATAAGTATCTGTCTCTGTATTTGAATACTTTTTAAAAGTATCTTTTACAAGACTGGCTATAATATTGATTATTGTGTTCACTTTGAATTCAATGGTATATTATCATTGTATTAAAAATGTGATTTTTAGCGGAATATGATGTGGTTCTTGTAAATCTTGTTTTGATGTCTACATAGCAGATAGTTTGTAGTCTGTTCGTGGGGCGTGGGCTAGGCCGTGGTACAGTAAAATCATATTTGTAGCCAGTCTTTTAATATTATCATATTTATGTAAGGTATTAGGTAATAACTAATAAATAATCAACAATTACTGTGAATGATAACTACTCTTAATAAGCAAACATCATAATTGAATTGTAATTCGATAAAAAAAATTTACTTTATTATGTTTATTAATTTTCCGTAAAAAATGGCCCGAAGTATTAAAATCGCTGACTGGCCTGTCGCCTACCCAGTCCGCCCCTGCGCTCTTATACAACAAGGAATCACACGCTCGATACACAACCCCGCACACTTATACACTCGTCACAGTATTGCTGTATCAGTAATAATATTTATCGCACAAGGAGGTGCCATTGTTCCACCCACCTGCTCGCCGGATCGCCAAAGAATGCGGATGTAGGGAAATTTTCGCGTGCACAAGGATCGTTGCGATCGATTGATATAGCTCAGTTGAGGGGTGGTGGGGTGATAGTGTCTCAACCGTTATTAAGTTAATTAAATTGTAGTGGATGTTAATTCAGTCGTCTTCACCAACCGAGTACAAATACATAATCCAGCATCAGTGATTTATTGTAATACATTTGACACT